TGATGATGCAATTGATCTTGTTATTGTATTAATTATTATTGAATGATATTACTACACCTATTATTGATCAAAATTATTTGTTAATGGTAAGATGATGATGATAAACATTGGAGGATATTGGGTAAATCCTTGATATCCTACACTTTTAATGCAATTGTGATGGTATGTACTTGGTGAGGAAGTTAAACTGAAGTATGTTTTATAATTGGATTAAGTAGGTGTGGTATGACGATGCAATTGAAATGTCTTGGTTATGTTATTGTGAGATTATGCTTCATATGTAATGATATAAGGTTATTTATGAAGTAGTAATGTGCCTTACTATGATATGGTGATGTTAATGTTCAAATCTCACATATGAGGTTGTATTGACAGGATGTTCTCAAGCATTTCCTATTGAGCTGATGAATACGACTATACAATGAGTTCTTCTCCTCTGACCTATTCTAAGCTATGATTTTTAAAGAATGACATTTCAAAAAGGGAATAGCTTAGCACCAAGTGAACTTGACAATTACAGGTGTTGGCTTCGAATGGAGGAATATTCACCATTTAGTTTTATGTGAGGTGTTGACTCCCCAATAAGGGACACTCACCCAATGGATTCTCATGAGATAAGTCTCCAATTTACAATAGGTATGTAGAGGGTTCAATATATATCTCCTAGGTTTTTAGTATGTTGTCTTCACAGGAATACTAGCTCGTGGATCAACCTTAGATGCTAGGTACATGTTTGGTTCTTATTTGTCTGGTAGACCACCCTTCTTCGGTGTAAGGTTTCACAACACTAGATTCCACACTTAGCTCTTGTAGTCTATGTTGCTTAAGGCATGTGTTTCCGCAAGTAAAATGAAGAAATGAAGTGAACACAAACTTGGGTGATTTAAGGGGTTGACTTAGTCTAGGTAGAGGTATAGGACTCTACCCAGGCATTTCACTATTTGGATTTGAGCGATGTCCTAGAAGGTTGTTCTCATGTTCTGATAATGTTAATGTTATAGATGTGTTGACTTTACATTTTGATGATCCTATATTATGTTAGTATCATTTATGAACATGATATTGGTCTACGTTATTAAATATGATGATGACTACAATTGATGCTATGTTATGTAGAGTTAAACATTAACGGTGATCCTTTGTTTTGATTACTTTATTTAGTATCATTATGGGGATTTGATTAGTCATGGCACTTGTAGGCTAAAGGGGTAGGTTATGAGTGGTTATTGCTTATGTGATGTAGTTATGACTCTATACATGCTAACATAACTATGACTTGTTGAGGTTGGTCTTGTGTTGTACATGGGTTTGATTTATGGATTATGTAATAGTAGGAATATATGGATTCATGATTTTGCATAAGGATTTTCAAAGTATTTTAGTATTGTTTTGACCAAATGTACTCTTCAGTATGATTTTAATTGTTTTATGTGTGTATACATACTTAGTACAAGTGTGTTCTGACCCATCTTTTATGTTTATTAGAAATGTAGAATACGACCGTTGAGCTTATTAAAGGCCTTGGAATATTACATGGATATTTCACAAGTTTTTGGTAGGTCCTAAGCTTACGAGGACGAGATGTCATTATCAAACTGTTGATGTTGTTCTAGTAATAAGACTTCTATTTCATTGTAAGAAGCTTGGTTTATAGCCTATATGAGGCTCTTTGTTATAATGGAGTATGGGCTATGCCCAACGTTGTACTCGTTTCAGATAGTTTAATATGAGACCTATTCTAGACATTCTTATGAATCTATATTGTTATATTATGTATGTGAAATAAAGTAGAGCCTATGTAGTGCTTTCTATTGCGAGGAGCCTATGTAAACTCCCTAAATATATATTTTGTGCAATGTATAAGTAATTAAAAAGGTTTAAATTTTCTGTAAATTTAACCTATGAAATGTAATGAGGAATTCTAAGAGGTTAGTTATAGTCCTCTTCGAGGACGACGACATCGGTTACTTCTAAGGGGTGCTCCCCGGATGTGACATAGGGTACTTATTTGGTCCTAAACTAACTAACTAAAAACATCCCAAAGAATTAATTAATTAACTCACTAATTATCTAATCACGCCTAACTTAATCAAAATCGGACATTGAACATGTTGATCCAACCACGGACCGTCTTGGTCATTTGTGCTTTGGATCAAAGGATAGTTTTTGGGTATTTTTGATGGGGTATCTATGTTTTTACCAACGATACACCACGATGGAGATTCATGTAAATGGAGGCTCATAGTTTCCCCTTGTGGATGTACAACGTCTTTAGACAACTTTTATGGTCAATTGTTTGGGTCCTCCTGAAGGACCCTTAGGGTGGTCCTTGGAAAGTCATATCAAGATTTTTCAACCCTATACACACTCTTAAGTGTATTCTAAACCTTTCAACCAAATTTTAATTCAATACGACTCTTAAAAATCATGGAAACACATGAAGGCACAATAATTCACTTTCACTATTCTCCGGACATCATCGTCATTTCTTGAAGTTGTGATTCTAACATATGAAAAACTCATTTAGAGCATAGTTCATCTAGTGAGTCTCAAGACTAGGTCATTGAACTTCCAAGTTGTAATAATGGGACTCTAAACTAATATTGAGGGTGTTTTTGATGTTTTTAAGACATTGTTGAATTTGTTGATTCTTGAGTGTAATGTGCACCTGAAAATCCCAAGGGGTTGCACACATTAATCAGTCTCGCATTAGCGATGTTTTTATTGCTTTTACAAAGAGTTAATTAGTGTGTTCCTTCACGTTTGAGAAGAACTTTCGCTCCCGCGACCTAAGTGTCTGCGAAGAACTTTCACTTCCGCGACCTTTATGTTTGCAAAGAAATTGCACGTCTATAACTTTCGAGTTTGCAAAAGATTTTTCGCTTCCTTAACCTTCACGTTAATGAATGTCTTTTTTGCGATCGTGAAGGTCCCAACTTTCTTGGGGTTCACTTTTTTGAATCCAAGGTTGCTTTAATTAGATTAGAGAGGGGTTTATGTCCAAATATTTATGGTTTTAAGCCCCATTTTCCATTTTGAGCATGGGAAAATCCTTGGAGGTGATTTTCAAAGGATTTCGTGTGCGATATAATTTGGGTAAGCTTTTGTGATTACTTCATTTCCCTTTGATTATTTATGGATTTTAACATAAAATTTTTTGTTTTTTATTTGTAAAGTACACATTCTTTTAAGAACTCAAGTTCTGAACTATAATGGAGATTTTAAACTAATTTTGAACTTTTCCTTGAAATGATTTAGTAATGTTTTCAAGTGTTGATTTTTGAATGCAAACCTTCAATTTGAAATATTGTTTTTATTTGATTGTTCCAAATTTTTCAAAGAAATATATGTGGGTATTGTTGTTTCCCAAAATTTGTTGTGAATGCTTGATGGTTATAGATTTTGTGGTTTCTAACTTTGGTGTGAAGGGAAAGACTACACATTTTGACTGAATAACTGACATCACCTTATGAAAGTGATATCCTAAAATTTCTATTCTAATATAATTTGGTAATTCCCTTTATTGTTTGTCTATTGAAAGTAATGGAAAAGAGGCGAGGGCTTAATTTTTTACTTGATATATATTGATAAATTAAAAGGGGTTGAAATGAAAAGACTATGTTGTATCATATAGATGTTAATTATCTCTTTGTGACCCTTACCAATAAATGATGAAATGCTTGATAGCATAAATGTGGACTTGGATCGCATAAATTATTGGCTCCTCCATATGGTGTGATGTTACTTGTATAAAATGATTGTCGATCACTGTGATGAGACATTTGATGGTAATGATTCTGAAGTTTTTTTCAAAAAATTATATGATTTCAAAGTCATTTCCAGCAAGTGTTATGAGTCTAGGCTCATTTCTTGCAAGTTATATGATAATGAATTATGTGCCTAAGGTTATTTTAGGCAAGTTCTATGATGATGAGGTCATTTCAAACAATTGTTGTTAGTCCCAAGTCATTTCCAAAAAGTTTTATTATGCCAAGGCCATTTATGTCAATTGTTCATGATGATGGGGTCATTTTCGGCATTTGAATTTATATATGACGGATGTGAAATGATTTAGGCGAGAATTGATCATTGAGGGTTGATGTATTTTGATGCATTTGATTGACCTACTTATTAGTAATTATTAGTTTAAATGGTACTTGTTAATTATCTACTTTATAATTTTGGTTCACTTACGTACTTCATGTTGGTTGTTGACTTTTTACTCATCGATTTTTAAAACTGAGCCTCCTAAGCTCTGTTTTATATAATTGCTATATTGAGATAATATCTGTGTAGGTTGTAGTTTGAGGATGTTTGGTTGAGAGCAAATATGTTTTTAATTTCTAGCTAGTTGCTTTGTTTAGTAAGATTCTTGTTCTGTATGGTGTTCTTGGTAGTCACCTCTTGCTTCTAAACATGTGTATTTTTCGAGCCAGTTATTGTGTGGTCGTCCTTCTTTTCCTACATTTTGAGGCTTATAAAAGGACTATTGAGAGGTAGTTAGTTGCCATCGTGACGAGACTTGTTTTCCTTTATATTATAATTTGTTTTATTTGAGAAACAAAGACATTGATGTGTTGCAATTTTTTCATTTTCGGATTTTTTGTAGAGGTTTGTACACATGACAATCAGATATTTGGATAGAAACAGAAAGAATAAATTTTTTTCTTATTTATCTAGTTCTTGATTTGTCGTTCCACTTTTCTTTCATTTTGTTGGGTTGGGACTGACTTGTCTTGGTAGTAATATATAAGTGCCATCACTCCAACTTTTTAATGCTGACACTACAACTCTGCCATTTATGTAAAAAAAATGTGAATGTGGGGTAAACATGAAGTAGAATTTTAAATATACTTTGCAAATGCTCTCTTTTTCTCGGGTTGGTTAAAAAGAATCCATAGCCTCTTGATTGTTGAATTGTGTACCCATATTTCAACATTAACATCACTGATATATGAGTTTCGGTGAACTTACCAAAATGTTCTTAATGAACGTTGCACTGGTAAATAAAAATTGCTACATATATATTCAACAACATAGTTGAGGGGGAGAGAAAATAGAAGGCGACAAAATGAGCGAACAACAATGCTATTTTGTATTTTTGTTCCTGATTCAATCCTTACATGCACTAACACAGCCAATCTCTTTGTGCATTTTCTACTTACATTCACCATTATCATCTGCAAAGCTCCTTAATGTCATGGTAAGAATGATCCTCAAAATTGAACATTTATGTTTAAACTGGTAAATGCAGCTATGAACCCCATTGGTTATTGTCATTAACTCCTGTATACAAAAAATATATATAATGTTGATCAAATGGCATGCTCTTAGTTTTGTCCTTAGTAGGCCATGGTTAGATTCAATTTTTAAAGAAAGTTATTAGCATGAGAATTTTTATCAAATAGTATGCTATAAGTCTGAAGGAAAATATTGAATGTGTACGTACATACATATGTGTGTGTTTATATATCATGAAGGAGCTGATGTGGTTAAAGGCATTTCAATTTCTTGCGAGGAGGTGATAGACGGATCTTCACTTTTGCTACAATGAGAGGAGTTTAGAGATGCAGATCCAAGTTGTGCCTGTTTTTCTTTAGCATTATTTGATCCATTTGTTGTTGAAGCATTTCTGGCCATTCTAGAATTTGCCATTGTCGATGCTCGTCTAGATATTTGGCGATTTGAATCTGTATTATTCCTGCTCACTCCAAAACATCTCTTAATGCATGTGTAAATGTATGTTAGGACCCAAAGTAACCATGGGAATCCAATCAATATTAATGCTATTGGAGGAAACCATGGCTCGGAAAGATTTGGCACAAATAGGTAAAGAAAAAGAAATATTCCACCAATAAGTACACAAAGACATAACAGGAAAGAGATTAGAGGAACTCTCAGATCCTCCTCCCTTTCATTCATTATTCTTCTCTCTTTTCTATAATAATAAAAATATTGCAAAAAAGTGCTTTAGAAATGATGAAATGTTACTCCTTCTACTTTTATGTTTCATTCGGATTGTTCCTTCTCCAATGGAGTTTATTATTAAAACAAGATCTTTCAAATATTTTTTGTATTCTTCTCTAGGGTTAATATGCTAGAAAAAAATATCATAATTCAATCAAGATGAGAAACCAAGAAAAGTGTTTAAAATGGAAGGTTGTTTATGAAAAATAGATTGTAAAGTCATTGTATTTGAGATTTACATGTAGAGAGATGAAGAAGAATTCATGAATGACAAGAATTTTCTATTTTTCCCATAAGGTTCTCCACTTTGCATAACAACAAAGTGCTTATTCCATGTAGGTATCAGGCAAAAATAGGGATGGCGGAAAAAAATTACTTGTTTCATCCCGTTTCTTTTTTACCACACTTAATTAGGGGTGTCACACGATCGAATGAATTTAGTAAATTTAGACCTGCTTATACAAATAATATGACATAGAAGCCGAGGATGCATCTTTTATTTTCATGATTTAAACGTATAAAATAACATTTCGCATGGTGTACAATTTCACAATTTTAATTTAGTCCTACTGAAATCACTATACTAGTTACTTTATATCTGAATTGGGTTTCTTTGAATACTATACTATATTTTACTTTGTTCTGATTCATCTATTTTTTTCGCTCTTATTTATTTTATTCTACTATTATTTGCAACATAAAAGGATATTTTCAAATAAATTTCCCCTTTTATATTTTATAAACTGTTTTTTTAGATTTATTCATACTGTTCATTTTCTATACGTATATTATTATTATAAACTTGCAAATATGTTTCTTCCTATTTAATTATACTCAACTAATATTAATCATAAAATTTGGGATAATTTTTTTTGTTATTTTTTGAATACTAGGTTTTTAACACGTGCGATGTACGTGATTATCTATGTAGAAAATTTAAGAGAATATTGAAACAAAACGTTTTGCACAAATTAATATTAAAGATTCTTCTGTGAATGTTGAATGTGGATCATCATATATATATATCTCCTATTTACAGGAACTTATGATGATTGTCAATGAAAAATTCTATTTCAATTTGATGAGATTCAATCATGTAATTAGTCGTATGTCACTAATATTATCTTATAGACGATATTTGTTGTCTATTTTTCTTGTCATCTAACCAGATGTGTTTTGCACTGGTCATATGAACATGTGGATAACAAATAAATTTCTTTTTCGAGAACTATTTATTTATATTATTTTTTATTTTATATGGTATAACGCAATTGATGAGGTTCTTTTTGTTTGCTCTCATATTTGACTTCTTGATTTACTCTGATTATAAATCAAAGATAAATATTTGATTGTCCATAGTGAAAAGGGCAAGGTTTCCTTTCCTTTTTTTCCCAAATGACTAAAACCTAAAATTAAAGAATATATTTTATCTTCAAAATCATATATTTAATGACAAGTTTATCTTACACCCCAACAAAAATATATACCATATACTTGTAAACAATTTTAAATTTATTTATCCTAGCATGATTCATCCAAGGAAAAATAAACAGAACATGTTCTATCTTATATAGGGGCGGTATAATAATAAGAAAAATTATTGATCAAAGGTTAATATAATAAAAGATGAAAGATAGAAATAATTAATCTAATAACTAGGGGTGTCAAAAGTAAACCTAAACGTAGTTAACCCGCCCAACCAGCCTACAATTTTAAGGGTTGGGTTCAAGATAATTTGAAGTGGGTTCATTCTCAACTCATTCAAGCTTAACCTATTTGAAGAGAATTCTCAATAGATCCCAATTTAGTATCTGATTTCAAACTGTTTTAAAACTTTTTATTAAGATATGTTCCTATATTTAAGATAAAATTTATTATCTATTTAACATCTTTAAGAATCTATCTATCCATTTATTAAATTTTTAACAAAAAATTCTTGAGCATGAATTCAAATTGTGATTATCAAATTTGAATATTAATATATTAAATTATTATGATTAATCGGGCAAAATTGAGTTGGCCAAGACCCAACCCGTTTTTAGCCCATTTGAGCACAAAGTAAACTTTTGGGGGTCAAGACCCAACACGATTTCTATTGAACTCATTTTAGTATTTCCAATTGTCAACCAAACCCACCCATTTGATACCCCTAGTAATAACTATGAGAATTCACAATATTATAACTGAAGAGTGTAAAAGAATGTTAATACATTTGCAATAATTTGTAATAACGAATACAATTTATATTGCTATAACAAAAGAATTAATGTGTAATAAAAGAATTTCTGATAAATTTTATATTTACATATATAAAAAGGACATTTAATTAATGTTACTATTCTTTTTCACAGAGATTATATTTTAATTTTTATGGAGGGACAATATGGTAATGTTTATTCCATATTACTTAATATAAAATTTTTTTTGTTATTGTAAAATTTTAAATGATTCATATATATTCACATATATTCACATTTTTCGTGAATTGTTTTGGTTAAAAACAACAAGGAATGTTTTAAATAATATATTTTGATATTGGAATATCTCGTTAAAAACATATATATATACATATATATATATATGTATGTATGTATGTATGTTTTATTTAATAAAAATATATATTAGAAACCGTACGAACTTTTTTTCATTTAAAATACATAAATATTAAGAAATAATAACATAGTAAAACAAAATTGCAGTGTTCACATAGTATTACATATTTTAAAGAGAACTTCTTGACAATCTGCAACACATAAATAGTTGTAACACCCTAAAACGATCTACGTGAAACTAGAGTCCAGCATGTGTCTAATGAGGTTTTAAAGTTCTTAAAGGGTTTATAATGATTTAATGAGGTAGTCTGTCACGACTTGAATCTAGACCCCAGAAGTAACCAGCGCCGTTGACCTCTTAGAGGTCGCAGACAAGCCTACATATGTTATCCTTACTTCAATCTAGGTTAATTTTAGAGGAAAATTTGAACTTTTTGTCTCCTTATTTCATTCTAAAAATTTCAAAGCTAACAACATAGACGTTCACAAATCAACCATCTAATATAGAGATAATCAAATGAAAGAAGTAGCTCATAATTGCATTAAACGTTTTTTTTACTAAATAGCACCAATACAAAGTTTGAAATGAAAGTGGAAAGAAATGCTATTGGAACATGCTCCACTAGATAAATCCTACATCTAATCTAGAATATAACAATAGACATCCTCGAAAGCATGTGGGCCTACCAAGTCCGGATGAAAAACTCCATGTCCGAATAGCACACAACAAATAACATCTTACACTTAGCACATATCATATTGCATATAGAACATAACATCTTTCATATCATTCAGTCTTATGCCGTGAGACCTTTGAATAGTGAACTTAAACATTAAGACTTTCCATAAATGAGGGCTCAACATGTGGGACCTCAACTAGGGAGTCTTCTATAACAAACACAGAGTCTGCTTCGTTCTTTCATACGTACTCTACTTCATTTCATTCATGGGCCAGTGTGAACACCGACTATACCTACGATATAGTTTAATACTTTCATAAGGTTCATTGTGCAATGACCAAGAATTACCTAATTTCATTACTTGAATCGAACTCACCTTTTGATTATTATATCCTAAACCCTTTGGTATCATTCATTTCATTATGTGCATCATTTGATGATGGCCTCCTTCATTCATTGGGAACTTTAACTATAACCGACATAGATCATGTAAGCATCATGAAATCCAGAGTCATGAAACCAACTGCGAAAAGAGGTGGAATCACCAGCCAAAGTGACCCAAACCATGCTAGCGTACATGGGAATTGAACCCTGCCAGATCCCTATATTGGCAGTATAGGTTCGAAGACTAGGAGATATAAGGAAACCCATATCTTTCATGCCGGAGAGTCTCATCTCATGAGAGTTACGTGAACCTCCGCCCTTTTCAAAAGAAGGCATCACCGCTCATAGCTAGTCCACCGGTGCTAAGTATAAAGTTCCATTACATTCAACTCATACGTCATGGAAGTTGGCTTCTAGTATGAGGACATTATAGGTTAATAAATAATTTCTCAACTCATCATTAGTATTGAGTGTTTTAATATCAATACTTTCATTAAAGTGTTCAAAGAGACTGTTCTCTTCATTAACTTTACACTCTCATACATGAGTACGTTTTAGTAACATTTACTTAGGCTCATTTTACATTTCTCTACTCTTTTACATTAGCCTCATATCATGTTGTCACGATATTCATTAACATTATCACATTATAATTACTCACCCCTTTATACGTGAAAGTTCATTTCATCATATGCCAATGCACTTGGCCATGTAGAGTGTTTCAAGCTCTTACTTAACCCTTCAAGGGTTTCATCATTTCATTGTTACTTTCGTCATAAGCCAATGCATTTGGCCTTTTAGTGTATCTTACAATCGTACTTAACCATTCTAGGGTTTCATCATTTCGTTACATACATCTTAGGTTTACTTATTTTTAATCTTATGCTAGTCTTATGGGTCTATACATACAAACCATTAGACTTAATTCGTAGTTTATTTTAACTCATATCTTCCTAAGATTATGTAGTACAAGACTTATGCATTTTGTATGTATACCAAGATCTTGATTTCGATCTAAGTTGGTGGCCTTATTCTTGGACATTTAATTCACATAAGATTTATGTATCAATACAAAAATATGGCCAAGGGAACCCAAGTTCGAACCCCTTGGACAATACTTACATTTTTCAATGAGTTTATTTTTAGTCTTCATGACATTGGGACCCTAGATCGAGCCTCAACATAAACATTCTATCATTATTTTTCTCCTTGGATTCTCCTCTTATTTGGCCGAAGGGTTGTGGGATCGAACCCCAACAACCCCTTTTATTTTTCATTTAAAATTGTGTTGTCAAATTCGCCTAGACCAAGAGGTTGTGGGATAAGAACCCCACAAACTCTCTTTATTATACTGTTTATTTCGCTGGGAATTGTGAAGTCGTGGGTTCGAACCTCCACAACCTCCTTAATTTTTTTTATTTAAACTTTGCCTTAGCAATGCGTAGGTTATACACCATGGTTTCACGGTATTATTAATAGTTTTTCCTTAAAGTCTACTGTGTCCAAAAGACACTTTGTGCTAATTTTTATATAAGTTTCTCCTTATGTGCAGGAAATCTGTCCAAAGATGAATGCGGAGATTTTGAGCGAAAAAATGCAGAAGAGACAACCTACTGAGCTTGTGACGGTCCATCGAGCTTGTGACGGTCCGTAGGTGGCAGCGTTGTGCAGCTGCTGAAGGAAGTGGGGAAGTCTTACCAAGTGTGGGATTACCGAGTCCATGACGGTCCGTCGTGTCTATGACGGTCTGTCCTGCAGGT